AGAAGGAAATCTGGGAGGTGATAAATATATCTAGGATATCGGGACGTTTTTTGAGTGATGTTGGCCAATAAGTAGGACTCATGGGCGAGAGGATTGAATAACTGTTGGAAGATGAGATGCGTGAAAGGATGTTACCGCGGGAGTTGGATGTTCGACAACCCCATCGTTGGTGTTTAGCATTGCAGTCTCCTCCAGCAATAAAGCGCGATCCGAGGGATTGGAATAAGGATTCAAGGAGGTTATAGGAGATGGAATTACGAGGAGGACAGTATACAGCTGAGAATGTGAGATGGAAAGGGCGAGTTGAAAGGACAATAGAAGTTGATTGAATGGCATCAGTTGGAGTGGAAGGCATAAGGGAGTGGAATAAAGATGGATGGATAAGGATGCAGGAACTAGCGTGGAAAGTGTTATCTGGGTGGTCAGATCTGTAAGTGATATAGTCATGTATGAAGAAATGTGTCCGTTGAGTGAAGTGAGTTTCCGTCAGAAGGGCAATGTCAATGAGATTGTCATGGAGAAATAAGTCTAGTTCGTCTCGGTGATTGAGTAGTCCATTAGCGTTCCATAAAAGGATAGCTAGGGCTTTGTATTCATCGGGGGAAGTTGAACGGGATTTCGGAAAGGAGTCTGGTGAGGAGGGTAATAAGTGGTTTGATAGTCTCTTGAAGATCTATCAGGAATGTTGAAAGGACAGAATTTATGTCGGAAGGTTTTTGGCTATGAAGTGGATTTAGGTCAGGAGGATGTGATGGGTAATTTGTGCGACTAGGATTGCTGGAAGGGGGATGTGCCCGACGTGGGATGCGAGGAGTTAGATCTATATTCTGTTGGGCTTGTGATGGGAGGTTTACATTGGGATTAGGAACGGATGGAACTGGGTGTGGATGCTCTGGCGGGAGTTTGACCCTTAAGGGTAGATGGTGAAGAGGGATTTGCGGACGAGGAGGTTGAGGCTGAGGTTTAGCAGTTTTAAGCTTGGATTGGGAAGACTGAGGCGCCTGTCGTCGAGGCTGCTGGTTCTTGATGGTGGTTTGGAGATGTAAATTTCCCGAACCCTGTTGAGGATAGTCCGTAGCTGTGGAGATGGATGGTTGAGGCTGGATGACTTGAGAAGGTGACGACGGCAGTGCTGGGAAATTTTTTCTATCATCGATTGCGGGGGCCTCAGTGCCACTTTTATGATCAAGGCTAAGGCTTTTCAATGCCATATTATGTGATCTCAGCTTCAGAAGATTTTTATAAACTATACAACCTCTGTAGCTCGCTGGGTGTCCCTCACCACAAAGTGCACATATAGCAGCCTCTTGCCTTGGTTTCTGGCAAATATAAGACGGATGTGCCCCAGCACATTTGACGCATCTGGCCTGATGATGGCAGTAGGCCTTTGTGCATTGCACTACTATAGGTCTTTGTCTGGGCTCTTCAAAGCGGACTATTGAATATAAAAGACGCTTTACATTAAATATTTCCGGGTTGTTTTTTGCAGGTTCGAGATCTATGAAAAATAGCGATAGCGGGTATTTTTCCTTAGGATGAAGCACAGTAGCTATGTTCCTTACGCTATGGCTTATTTCTTCCAAACCCATTTTGATTGCGCTTATAGAAGTAGTTGGATGAAGCCCTCTTAATACAACTCTGTATGCTTTTTCCTGTCTCAGCTGGTAACAATGGAAATCGTATTTTCGTGAAGTAAAATGTTCAATTAATATTTTGTAATTTTCTTTAGAGTTGGTATTTATTTTAATATCATTGACTCTGGAAAAACATGTAAAATTTGGCTGCCCAATCAGATCGGCGATTTCTTGTCCGAAGGACATAAAATTTTCAATTTTTGCGACGAAGATGGGTGGCGGTTCAAGATCACAAGTTTCTTTTGGCTCCAGAATCTTGTTTGTAGTATTGTTGGCTGTAACAGAGTTACTGATTGAGGTGTTTGGTGAAATTGATTCTGATTTGATGGCTGAACTGATTTCGCTACGCGTGTTTGGTGTAGTTTTGTTTGTTTCAGATGTCTTTTTTGATTTGGCCGATTTATTTTTTTTCTTGTTTGGTGAGTTGCCCGCTGAAACGGAGGCAGAGTTTCGATTGCGCTTTTGAAGAGTCCTTCTTTTTAAATATTGTGAATCGGTCTCACTGACCTCGGAAAATGGTGTCTCTTCCTCCGATTCTTCACCAGTTGTATTGTCAGGTTCCATAATGAGAAGAAAAAAAATAATAAAAAGAAAGAAAAAATCTGTACCTGTTATAACACTAAAAAAAAAATAAAAATTTACGAAATAAATTCTTAAAACTAAGCTATTTACATTATTTACAGTTAAAGGAAGAAAAAATCGCAATATACATAATTAAACCAAAGTAAAAGTCTTAGAGTAAAATTAACAAATAGAATAAAGAGAGAAGAAAAAATAAAAATAAAAAAATAAGAAAAAAATAAAAATAGTTTTTTTGTTTCTAATATATTTTTTTTTTTTTAATTGTAAAATAAACCAAATTAATCTACTAATTTAAAAGAAAGAAATTCTCTGGCTGATAATTGAATAATATTTAATAAATAGAAAAATATAGCGAAAATAAAAGCGATGCTACTATATAAATATATAGTGAGTACGAAAAGAAAAATCTTTAATAAATGTATATAACAATAAGCAATATAGAAAGAACATTTACTTTGAAAATAACTATAATAAAAAAAAAACGCTGATAATATATAGAGAATATAAAAACTCCAAACTTGAAAAATATAAATAACGATAAGAAATATAAACAAAATAATAACTAAAAAAAAACTATAATAAGAAAACACGCAAAGAAAAATTCTAAACTTGGAAGATTATATATATATATATATATATATATATATATATATATATATATATATATATATATATATATATATAAATAAATTATAATAAGAAAAAAAAATAACACTAAGTTTTGAACGCTATAATAAGAAAAAAATACTGAAGACATAAATAATAATATGTGTGATGAAGCAAAAATAACTTAGAACTAAAGAAAACAATAATTTTGAAGACGATAAATAGAAAAAAAACCACTCATTATATAAAGGAAACTGAAGAAGCAGTAAGCGTATTAGGAGAAGAAATTTAAACGATATGAACACCTAGAATTTCGTAGCTAGAATGAGAGTTGTGAGGGTAGACACACAGGTACCTCCGGTAGAATCCTCCAATCTGATTAGCTGATGAATTCCCCACCACTTCCTTTGCAGTGGACCTTGTCCCCCTACATGACAATACATGTGCAATCCTTAAGAGATTTATCGGCCCCTTTTCATCAGGGCCGGATCTTCACATAACACGCTTTTTCTTGCTTCTCGGTAGAATTTATACAAACTTTTCAGGGTGGCAGGTTCTCATAGGTTCTTAACGTCACCTTATTACTTTACAATAACTGTAACACCATAAGAGTAACCAGTTATTTAGCCCGTTACTAGTTTTTACTCTGAGCCTTCTCTCGAGCCAGGTATAGGGTCGGTCCTCAATTTACCTGCTTTCTACCTTTGATGCCGTTTCTGATGTCCGAAGTCGATTTCGTTCAGCTTGTTTTCTACACTAAATAATAAATTTAAATCTTAAATTTAATTGGCTATGTTCAATACAGAGCAATACATATATTATTGCAAAGGAATATAAATTATAACGATGAAATATATTCATATATTGTAACATTTTACAATATATCATAAAATTCTTACCATACCCCCCTCACTCCTTCTCATCAAGCTTTATATTTTGTTTTTCTTAAACATCAAAACATATTCAATAACCTAATATAAATCGAAAATCTATCATAATTTCAATATCATATCCTAATTCTACGCACTCGATAACCTAATAGTAGACACTAATATCAAAGAAATTCATAAAGTCAATACCCGTAATATATTAAAATGTAATATAATATTATTTTCATAACACATGTATATCAATGAAAAAGAAAGCTGTGGACAATATCTTACACTTCGGATAACTTTATAATAGACTTCCATATCAAATAAATTCGAAAAATTGTATTAAATCGAAATTTGATGAATCGATCTTAAAACTGATATCATTTTCTAATTTTAAGCGCTCGTAAAGCTAATAGTAGATTCTAATATCAAAGAAATTAATAAAGTTAATATATTAAAATGTATTATAATATTGTTCTCATAACATATTTATATCAATGACATAGAAGGCTGCGTAGAATATTTTGTATCTGGTGTAACATTATAGCAGACTCCAATATCAAAGAAAGTTGTAATAAATCAATATTCGATGAATCAATCTTAATTCGATATCATTTTGGAATTTTACGCACTCGATAATTTTGAAATAATCCAAATTAAAAGTACTTTAGAGGAAGACGTACTTTAGAAGAATCGAGCATTGAGCATTTAAGCGCTGCAAAGTGACATCAATAGGGATACGACCTAAATAATATTAAAGACCACTTAATTATTCAATGATACACTGAGTTTAATCAAAATCGCTAGTAATGTTTTCGAGAAAATTGTAAAAATGTGTTTCATGTGTGATATAAAGTGGCACTTCCGGTTAGTCGATTTTAACGAAAAAGTTGCTATCACATTGAAGCTATATAAATACCTAAAATAAGCCATTTAAGGTTTTTACGACACACAGGAAATTTCCCGGGATTTGTTTAATTCGATCCAGGAGACCTCAAAATGTTTATTTCCGTTGAAAACTCGGATTCAATTTTTTTTCCGATCGCAATACTTTCCCTTACTATATATTACATATATAGATAAGTGAAAGTAATATATGAATAATTCCTGAATAGTGCATGGTGGGTTTATGGTCTTTTATTTTTATAAGCTTTTTCTATATAAATAACGTATTTACGAACTTCTCAGATAAGAGTTTTTAAGCTAAATTGATGTAGTTACAGGTATTGGTAATGATAATTGAGGGTTAAGACTACAAAAAGCAATGTTAATAAATAAAATGTATTTTTTTAATTGATATTGTAGACAGTGATGAGAAGAATGGAATGAATGTATATGAATATATACATACAACAGCCTAAATTGGAATAATCGTTGAGTATCACTACTGTTGAGTTTATTTTTTTTTTAATCATATCCATCATAATCATAATCCACACTGCCACCCACACTAGCGCCCACATGGCCTTTCAAGTGGCCACCGACAATCAAACTCCCACTCGCCGCACAACACCCCGCCACAATAGCGCTACCGCCATCCATAGTGCCATCCACACAACACTGCATACCGCCATCCGCACAACACGCGTTGTCCACAATGACACCTAAACTGCCAAACAAGTTGGCAATAATTTTGAAACCGAAAATAGACTGGAGGAGCCTAGCCTTAGATTCCGATATTGGCTCTTGTAGTTCTTTACCTATAAGTAAAATAAATTAGAATCGTTTTATATGATAAATGATATTTAAGGATTATATAAGTATAACGAATTAAATGTTTTCTCTATAATTCGGTCTTTGGTTTGATTATATCGTCGGTTCATTGGAAAGGTCACTGAGTACAGTTTTGATAGAACTAAACATTTAACTACATATTTGTGAAATTCGATCTTATTAACCGATGCAAAAACAGAGTTCACCCACTAAATGAAGTATATTTTGGTTTTACTGAGGAAAGATTCATCAAATTACTTTCTGATTTTCTATTTTATATGTTTCTTAACAACACAAACCGACGATATATAAAGTATATAGACCTTAAGATATTATTATAAAAAATAAATTTAATTTTAAGAAAACAAATTTGAATTAAGTCTTAAATCATGATGTATTACCCGATGTGTTGTTTGTGTTGCTGTCATCTTCAGTCTCGTTTCTCATCAGTTCAGTATTGCAATTACCGATTTCTTTTCCTAAGATTTTGACAATAAAAGGAATCACTGGAATATTTATAGGTTATTCATTTTAGACAACTAATTGATAATACCACATTCTGATTTAGCCGTGCTTCCATTTGAGTTTATTGCGGAGTCCTTTGACTGTTGGTTAGGCGAATCGATCAGTTCAGCTTCTGTATAGCCGGAATTCCGAGAAACCAAAACCAATATCAATAAATAATTCCAAAACATCTCAGCTCTAGATTAATACAAACAACATGTGAAAGTATTATGTTTTATCATTTTTAATCCGATATATATTATTTTTAATGAAAACTTATACTTGAGTACGAAAATCCCAATTCACAACAGTAAGATGACTGACGTGGATTTCTGAAAAACTAAACTTTAGCAAGATAATACATAATGTTTATTATAATATTGACAAAAGGTCATAAAATACTTACAGTCCATAATTTAATGATGCATAACTTTTCAGTTCATGGTCGATTCCTAGTTTATCGATAGCTATAAGTTGGAATGTCTTTAAGTGTGATTTTAATTTCCTTCAATGATATTATTGCCTATTGTTATAGATTCGGTCCGGATATAGATGTAAAAAAAATTAAATATACTATATAATATGCCTCAAAGCGTACAATAATATGCAGTCTAATTTTAACCGAATAAGTAATAAAAATATATTTTAATTTAAGAAAACCGAACACAGAAATCGGGAAATTCCTTCAACCCTAAGAGATATTTCCATATCTACATAAAGATCTTAATGGAAATTGACATTAAAGAATATTTAAAATTAGCGTTCGACAATGACGCTGCTAGTTGAAGCCTTTATATATAAAACTTGATATAGTAGACGGGTGCCTTCCACACCCGAAAAAAACTTTCAGAACTAAGACTTTCAGAATTTTTTTTTTTTAATTCAAATATTTTTTATTTTAACCTTTTTAGATATCATATGGTGCTAACCAAATTGTAAAGTTCAATTTATAATTGCTCTAAATATTTTTGTAAATAACTTGGTGTTTAGAAGTTATAATTTTGAAAATAATTAACGAATCCAAACGTTAACGGATAGGTTTGGAGTAACACCAATGAGCTAGGCGGAATTAGCAGCTGCTATGAACGCGGTCCTATCACCCCAGCCTGCGGCTGGTTTTATGGACTGCAATGACGACTCTTAATGCACGGATAGGGAATGAGGTGCCTGGGAACTAGTAACGGGCAGGAAAAGAAATATAGTTGAAGACAGGGACCCGAGAAAACAAAAAAGAACTGAATCAGAGATAACTGTTAGTATTAGCTTTCAAGTCCTTACTGATACTGATGATAAATGCCAAATCCCACCTGATAATGTACCATCTAATCCCACCTCTAATCCACCTCCAATCTTCATCACAGGAGTAGAAAACTACGCACGGTTAGTCTCATATCTGCAAGCAAATGCAGGCCCCAATAGCTTTTTATTAAGATCAACATTTAAAGGAGTTACTGTACCCTGAAATACCAAACAACTACCGAAAACTAGTTGCCTGGAAAAACCATATGGTCCCTATCTTAAGTTATTTCATAGCTACCGTCATCTACTTTCACAACCTATCCGCAAGCTACTAGTATCCTCCCTGATATACACCCACTTTGACTATGACTAAGTGGTAAACGGCGGTCTCTCCTTTGTACTCGAGTATAGATTGAAGCTAATCATAAATTACTTATTAAGATTTGTCATCGGTACTTCGAAATGGTCTGTGATATCTTTTTGGCGAGTTAAAGTGACTTTTTCCCTCTTTCCGTCACAACACTTTCTTGGATCTTACCTTACATTCCCACCGCCCTTCCTACAATGATCTCCTGTTCAAACTCTTGATCCACTCTCAATAATTTAGATTCCTTGATTCTAACTTTCATACCACCTCCCGCAGAACCAAAACTTTCAAACGTTCCTTTCTTGACCGCTACGAAACCTTTTGAATTCTCTGCCATCTAATATTTCTGAAGGAGCACATTTTAACCGGGTTTTGAATTTTTGAGGGGAGAAGGACACATTTTGAAGGGATTTTGAAAATTTTTAAGGGAAACATTTCGAAGAGTCATTAATTTTTAGAATGAAAGCATTCAAACAAGGGAATTGGAGAAAACATAGAACAACCCACATCAAGTATAGTTATATACGATCTACGATTTTTCTAATTCTACTATCTCTTGCACTTTTTTAAGAGGAGGAATCAATAAACAAATATCTTGGGAAGGGAATATGATTTATGCGCCACCCACCTTGGGGGGATGGGCACACCTGAAGTAATGAAACAGATGTTGCCATTTTTATAAAATGGTGCATGGTAGATTCTTGACTATGGCTCAAGAAGCCGAAACGTTGGTAAAGAAAGAAAGAAAATAAAAACTTATTGTCTGAGAAACAGCGGTGCAAAATTTCACACGTATCAACTCGTTGAAGATAGGATTCCTCGACTTGTAATTAAAGATTTACACCACAACACTCCTTTAGAAGAGATCAAAAAAGACCTAGAAAGCTATGGATACCAGGTTGCAGATATTACTAACGATATATCCCGATTCAAACCGCCATTACCAATGTTCTTTGTTGATATTCATAAGTCCTCGTTTAATGAAAAAAAATTTGAAATTAAAAAAATATTTTACACAAAAGTTACTATAGAAGAACTTCGAAAAAAAAAATTATCACGCAATGCGACAGGTGCCAAAAATATAGCCACAATAGGTCGTACTGCAATCATTTACCACGGTGCGTCAAATGTGGACAAGGCCACGAAAGCTCTACATGAAAATCCGGCGGACTATCATGGGTGTCAAACTCTTCGTGATTTGAGAGCATAGAGAACTACAAGTTCACCAGAGAGCATCACCTCCTTCATCAAATCTTCTAGATTTTCCGAATCTTCCACAACCTTCTAGGAATGTGCAGAATCAGAATCATCAAGTGCAGAAGCAGAAGCAATCTCAGCGGCCTCTCCCTGCACAGCCGCAACCGCCAGCCCAAAAACAGGCTGAACCATTAACAAAAAACACTCAACCTCCTTCGGCAGTCATGATGGGAGAAAGTACCCAGCACACTTCAGCTGATGCATATATCACACCACAACTGTTTCAGTTATTAAATGTTCTCAACACTCTCATTCAGCCCCTTTTTAGCCTTCTCCAACAGCCCGCGCAGGTTACTCAAGATATATATCTTCTAAATGACCATTAATCAGGCCTGAACTGTAGGGCCCTTGTCCATTCTTATGTGGAATGCAACTGGACTAATGCAACAAAAAACAGAATCGGACTTATATTTACACGAAAAACAGACAGACATTGCATTGATAACAAAAACACACTTTATACCACGAACTAAATTTCATATTTCAGGATACATCAACAGACCATCCTGACAACACAGGTCATGATGGTACGGCTTTACTAATAAAGACATCACTTTCACATAACCCCTTGTACTTACCCACGACACCTGATATACAAACCACAGGATTAACGCTATATACTAAACGTAACACAATAACAATACCTTCCGTACATTGCCCTCCGAGGTACGTATTGACACCTACGATGTTTTGCAATTATTTTCAAAGACTTGGGCGTTGCTTCTTCGTGGGCAATGACTCAACGGAAAGCACCAATTTTGGGGGTCACGACTTTGTACACCAAGAGGAAGAAATCTGAGGGCTGCTATTCATGAACTTTCATTAGACACTATATCACCTGATATACCGACCTATTGGCCAGCTTCGCGACGAAAAACTCCAGACCTACTAGACTTCTTCATTACTAAAGGACTACGGACCATACCTCACACCATAAATATAAGCTCTAACCTTAGGAATGACCTCTGATCATTCCTTTATAAACTTGGCTATCTTAGATGAGCCCATCAACCTTCCACGAAATCCAAAACTCATCAATGGAAAGATGGATTGGGATGTTTATAGAGCATTTCTGGATTTAGAACTTTCCATCTCTGGGTCAATTAAAACCGAAGACGAATTAGATGAAGCAGTAGAAAAATTTACTAAAAGTGACCAAAAAGCTGCTTGGGTATCATCTCTTCCGACGTCATCAAGGCCAAAGAATTTGCCGAGATACCCTCAGTATATAAGGGACTTGATATGGCAGACTTACAGACTTTCTACAAATAAAGGTACATTTAACAGACTGAATAATAATCTAAAACGACTAATACAAAAATTCAATGCGACAAACTATAATGCTTACTTAAATAGTCTATCGACTGACGATGGAAGTTTGAGGAAGCATACCAAGACTTTGTTAATAAATGGAGAGGTGTCAGTACCCCTGCGGAAAGAGGATGGTTCATGGGCTTTGTCCGATAGGGAAAAATCTGAATTATTTGCTGACTATCTATCATCTGTACTTTACGAACACAGAACATGAAACCTTAGTACTAAATACTCTAGATATATCCCTACCGTTGACACTATCACCTCTTTCGTTTACTCATCCACAAGTTGCACAGCAAATCAAACAATTACCTAAAAGAAAAGCATCAGGTTATGACTTAATAACTGCCGAGGCGCTCCAGCAAATGCCCAGGAAAGCATTAATGTTCCTAATAACAATATACAACTGCATGCTAAGGACAATTAAATTCCTACTACAATGGAAATACTCACATATAAAAATGATACACAAAAGAGAGAAAGACATTTTCAATCCTTCATCCTACCGACCTATCAGCCTCATTCCAATATGTTTCAAAGTATTCGAAAAAATAATATACAAAAGATTGGTTGATATACTAACGGACCAACACATAATTCCTGACCATCAATTTGACTTTCATACATTTCATTCAGCTACACACCAATTACACAGAGTTACTGATTATATTGCTCCAGCACGAGAGCAAAAACAATATGCAACCGGCGTGTTTCTGGATGATGCCCAGGCATTCGATAAAGTCTAGCACCAGGGACTTCTTCTTAAACCCAAAACTATACTACCCCATACATACTATCTCACTCTTTAGTCTTTCCTTTTCGACAGATTCGACAGAGAAGTCTCTGTCCGACAGGGCTTGAAAACTTCCTCAATTCGACGAGTGTCGGCAGGAGTACCTCAGAGATCAATATTTCCTCCTTTACTCTACATTATCTATACATATGACATGTCCACCATCTCCGAAACATTGGCTGCTACTTACACTGACGATACAACAATTTTAACAAAAAATCACGACCCCTGACTAGCCTCACTGAATTTACAAAATCATTTACTAACTTTACAAAATTGGTACACTTCTCTACTCAAACCCATATGGACATACGCCTCACAAATTTACGGTTATGCAAAAAAGGCACACTTACAAAAACT